TGATAAGCGTACTAGGATGACATCCAACATCCACCAGTTTTTTTCTGAATTTTTGTATACATTCATAAAAGCTATGTAGAATTATCAGCAGTGTGTGTGTTAAAATTCCAACCATGTACAAGTAAACCTTCAAGGATTTCAGGACTTTTAAAAAAGACTTTCCTTTTCAGAATTTGACAGCAACATTTCATTAAGAAGAATCCAGAATGGCAGTTCTTACATCCCTCCAAATTATTCAATACAGCAGAGTAATTTTGTCTACTGATTCACATCGGCATCCCAGGGGCATGCTAGACCAGGTGGAAAAACTCTCAGAAAAATCAAGCTGTCAGATCAACTTGCACATTGGTACAGGGTAGGGATAATGATCTAGGCCTAATAAATAATTGTTTATTGGTCTGAGAACTAATAGTGTGCCTTGAGCTCTCTCTTCTCCTTTTGTTTTCAAATGCAACACGTCCAGGGCCATTTAACTACTTTCCTGCTATATCTGAATTGGTAAAGTGTGACTTTAAAATTCTGGCTGCAATCCTGGTTTACAAACTCAGAACACACTATATGCTTAAATATTTTTAATGACTGCTTATACCATAGTTGCAGATTTCTGACATAATGAGACACTCACACTGAATGAACACTCGAAATATGGTATGAAAGTTCACAAAGATAAGGAGCGGAAAAGGGAAAGAGGAAATGTGAGAACAATGTTAATTCTTGGTCCAGTAAACCATGGTTTATCAAACTGCTGTTTTGATGCCTGAAGCAGGACGTCCCTTTTGCTTTGTGTATGCTGGTATTAGATGCAGCTACTGTGTGAAGGTGTTGGGGACATGAATATTCAGTAAACATGTTGCATGCATGCGGATAAACTGTTAGTCTGTAACAGCTGGGATGTTTTTAAATACGGGTCTGTCCTTCATGTTTGCCTTGCCCATTGAGATGAAACTTGGTTTCTGTGCAGCAAATACAGCTGCTGCATGAAAACAAATCTCAGCTGATTGTTAGCAAGCAAGCAAAGTTTCTGCCCAGATCTTAATACTGAAGTAGCATGCCAGATGTGCCAGAAGGAAGTCAAACTACATTATGGTTCTTCCAGTTGTATGCCACCTTGGCTCTTTGATGTAGAGTAGTTTAATTTCACTCTGTGGTTTTGGATTTCTTCTCTCTCCCCCTCTTTCTTTGTTATATTTAGGAACCCAGGGAGTTACCTGATATTGAAAAAGCCACTGGTCCATCTGTCAACTCTCCAGAATTCTTCCCAGCCCTACCAGGAGATCTTCAGTGTTCCATGGTGGTCTCCTATTCCAGTACCAACCAGGCCTGATCCTGCTTAGCTTCTGAAATCAAATAAGCTTGATTTCAGAAGCTATGCTCCATGTGGTACGATTGCTCAGTGTTCCATAAAGGTAAAGGTAAGGGTTCCCCTTGACAATTTTTGTCCAGTCGTGTTCGACTCTAGAGGGCGGTGCTCATCCCCGTTTCCAAGCCATAGAGCCAGCGTTTTTGTCCGAAGACAATCTTCCGTGGTCACATGGCCAGTGCAACTTAGACACGGAATGCTGTTACCTTCCCACCGAGGTGGTCCCTATTTATCTACTTGCATTTGTATGCTTTCGAACCGCCAGGTTGGCGGGAGCTGGGACAAGCGACGGGAGCTCACTCTGTCATGTGGATTCGATCTTACGACTGCTTGGTCTTCTGACCCTGCAGCACAGGCTTCTGCGGTTTAGCCCACAGCGCCACCACGTCCCTATGGTGGCCTCCTATTCCAGTACCAACCATGCCTGATCCTGCTTAGCTTCTGAAATCAAATAAGCTTGATTTCAGAAGCTATGCTCCAGGTGGTACGATTGAAAATATCTTGGAAACGCAACTACCATTGTGGATTATCTCAATCTAATCCCTGGCTCAAATCTTGACAAAGAATGGGTTAACAGCCTGACATAGCCAAGCCATGCATGACTTCTTTATTTCTTCATTTTATTTAGAAAGATTTTTAGATCACTTTTCAGTTTAAAAATCACCGAAAGTTTTTTTGTTCAACAGGTAAGAAGATACAAAGAAAATCGATGGATCACCGCCCACCTGTCCCCCCAAAAAATGATAAAACAATAACAGTAACATAATGACTGGAATCCTGTAATGCAGTCTTCTGCACACTGGGAATGATATCGTTGGCAGTGACAGATTGGGCACCCATTAAAAGCTTGCTTTTGCAATTATGGGAAGCAAACGGCTCACAGACAAGTCATGTGCACCCCAAAATCACAGAAGGCAGCCATTAGTCATCATCAGCAATCCGCCGTTGACAAATGACAGTGTTCCTTTTGTTCAGGCAGACCTGCTCTAATGGATTTCAAACAATATTTTATTTAAGGAGACAGCTGCCTGAAGTAGGTTATGGGATATTTAGAATTGGAAAACCAGCAGGATAATTAAGTATGATGTTCTAACATAGCTGTTAATGATAAATTAATATACAATATCAAGCTAAAGAAGGCTGAGATAAATAGGAATTTTTTAATTGATATTTGGGGAGATTTTATCAAGGAGAAGAGTTGTACTCCTTCACAAGAATTGATGGAGTTTTGGAAGGAGAATGGGCCCCAAAGTGAGGAAATATTGGTCATACATCCAAATGGTCTCGGTGGAGGGCAGCACATTATGTATTATTGCATTTCTTATGTAGGGACGTGGTGGCGCTGTGGGCTAACCCGCAGAAGCCTGTGCTGCAGGGTCAGAAGACCAAGCAGTCGTAAGATCGAATCCACATGACAGAGTGAGCGCCCGTTGCTTGTCCCAGCCCCTGCCAACCTAGCGGTTCTAAAGCATGTAAATGCGAGTAGATAAATAGGGACCACCTTGGTGGGAAGGTAACAGCATTCCGTGTCTAAGTCGCACTGGCCATGTGACCACGGAAGATTTGTCTTCGGACAAACGCTGGCTCTATGGCTTGGAAACGGGGATGAGCACCGCCCCCTAGAATCGAACACGACTGGACAAAAATTGTCAAGGGGAACCTTTACCTTTACCTATTTCTTATGTGATATTGTGTTATCAAAGTATTTGTAGCTATGTTTTCCTTTTTGGTCTTTTTTTCCCTTTTTTTTTTTTAGTTTTAAAAATATATTTAAAAAAAAGATTAGGAAAACCACCTGAGAAGGTAAGAGGCATATTCTTCCTCCTGCAACAGCTGGGGAATTTTTTTTATCAAGGTTCTCCCTCCCTCTCTCTCTGTGTACATGTAGGCAGAAAAGTGACACAATGCTATTTTAAAGGAGAAAGATAAAGATGATTGATTTTGGACTCTGTGTAATCCAGAAGAGCAATTTTGGAAGGGCAGCCTCATTTTCTTTGACATTCTAATGCAGGGCAGTAGATTTGGCTCTCCCTTAGAGTGTCGAAACTGTGCTTCCATCGATGCTTCATTTGCATATATGTGAACGAATTACAGTATTGGTAAACATCATATCCCTCCAGGGACTTCCTCTCAAAGCAAAGCAAACTAAGGTTAGTGTCCCACTCCTGGAACATTTGACCACCTGGCTAATTGGAGTCATGCAAAACTCAACTAATGATCATTGTTTTGAATGCTTCTTCCCTGTTTCTCTCCCTCAGAAGGGGAGTCATTAACCTGCCTCTGTGGAGTGTGTTTGAAGACTAAAGCAAAGGCAAAAAGAAGAAGCCTGAAAGCAGCTGTGAAATGCTTGACTTCAGCAGAGCAGCTGTAAAAAGTACAAAAGAATTAAGCAAACAACCTAGCAGACCTTGAGGACTAGCAAATTTAGCCTTCGTGTGGCTACAGTTCATTAAAAAAACATTATTTTTAATTGGTCCCTGAAGATAAAGAAAAGAAGGAAAGAAAAGTGGGAAACTATATATCTACATTAATGAAGCACATGCTCGAGTGGCTTCTGTTAATACAAACTTACTTATTTTATTATATTTTATTTTATTTGTTTGATTGATTGATGCACCACCCATCTAGCCAATCACTACTTTGGGCGGTGTACAACAAAAATATAAAACATAAATTTCATAATTGCTACAGATACTAAACAGTAGGACAAACTTTAAAAACAGCAAAAATGGCAGCAATACCCATAATGGACCATACACTCCTTTATCCACTGTCCCCACTATTTGAAGAGAATCTCCCAAAAAGCTTCTCTGAACAGCTCAGTTTTTAAGAGCTTTTTAAATACGCCAAGGGAGGGTCTGCCTGCCATTTGTCCCATGGGAGAGTCTGCCACAAAGAAGGGGCCACTGCAGAGAAAGTCCAGGTTTTGCTTACCATTTTCCGGGCTTCTCAAGGGGTGGTATAAAAGGCTTCTGTTGAACAGAAGGCACCAGAAAGCCATGAAAGCACATAAAACTTCCCTCCTCATGTCTTTCCTTTTCTCAGTACAGGTGGAGGAAGACAACCTTCCTCCATTTGGCACCCTTCAGATGTTCTCGACTCCTACCATCCCCTGTTAGCACAGGCCCATCTGGGAGTGATGAGAAATATAATCCAAAACATCTGGAGGAACTTGGGGGGTCAGGCAACAAAGCAAACTAAGCAAGTAGACGGAACAAACAAAACATACCTTAATGCCCCGTGTCTAGAGATGGGCATGAACCGGCTTGTCCCAGTTCGTAAAGGTACTGCTGCTCCCCTATCCTGCCTCCTCAGCAATCCAGCCCCTCACCAGGCCCAGCTTGCTTGCTTTTCCCACCTCCTTGGCTAATCTCCCAGTCACAAGCAAGAGCACAGAGTTCTCTGCCCTGCCCTTTTCTCTGATTGGGAGATCAGCCAAGGGGGCGGGGCACAGAAGCCTCAGCTATTGCCAGGACTGGAAGATCAGTCGAAGACCATAGAGGCTGGGCCTGGTGAGTGGCTGACTGAGCCAGAGGAGGCCGGGCACGGGAGCAGCAGCACTTGTGCCGCCACCTTTACGAATTGGGATGAACCGGTTTGTGCCCATCTCCACCCATGTCTTTTCTGTACTTGGCCTTACCTTAACTTCATCACACTGAAAAAGATGAAGATCTGCTTTGCTCTGGGCTGGTTCTTTGCACACCAAGGCAAGGATGGAGTCATAGCTGCAGGAGCTCATCACAGCTTGGCAGTGCTGAATTGTGCTCAAGGGAAAGTTCTCCAGCTCGTTCTGCAAAGGAGAAAAATCCTTCCAATGACAGGCAAAAGTCTGTAAATCAAAGCCTCAACGGCAACGATGCTCAAGGAGCTCTGGGACTCATCGGTATTATTCTTGCAGGACAAAGTAATTTATAAAATAATAAAGTGAATCCTTTTAAATGCTTTTCCATGCACTCCCCCCAACACACAGATCCCAAGAAAATTCCTTCCTTCCTTGTGACTTTGAAAATAATACCACTGCTTTACCTTTGATTCTAAGTCCACCAGACTGACAGCTTTGTCGTCCACTTGGAGAATCATATCTTGCGTCCACACCTTGCCTTTCGCATTAAGCAGCTTCAGCTTCCTTATTCCATCATCTACTGTGATCATGGCCTCTTTCCGATCAAGAACAAAAGTAGTCAAATGCTGGTGGAAGAGAGGTTTATGATGGAAAGAGGAAAAGGAAGAAAGAGACGCGATATTGAAAAGCACATCCAGGAGCATCTGTCTCTTAAAAGAGTTCTTTTAATGATCTATTTCCCAGTAAATAAATAAAGCTAAAGTGGCCTTCAAAGTAGAGAACTGTATGTTGTTGTTGTTTAGTAGTTAAGTCATGTCCAACTCTTCGTGACCCCATGGACCAGAGCATGCCAGGCCCTCCTGTCTTCATAGAACTGTACAGTTTCTTTTTATACGCATTTTGCTTTGCTTTTATATCTCTAATGCTATTAACCTCTCTGCCTAACACCAGGGTTCTGGGGGGACCCTAGAAAGAGACAAAATACAGAGATAGAATAGGTTGGGCGACATCCAAACGTTTGTCCTAATGAAAGTAAATCTATTGGATCAATGGGAATTACAATAGTATTGACTTTCTGTTCTGTAAACCTATTCTAGCTGGGACTAGCAACTGAATTTAATCCATAATAAAAAAAATATTAAAAGAGAATAATTGATTTGTTTTGTTTAGCAGGACAGTTATGAGCAGTCAGACAATGAACCAAACTGCGAGACACAACAGAAGAGTTACGAAGCCTGATCGGTGAGTAATGCGACAATTCTGTACCTGCCTACTTCGGAATAAGGTACATGGATTCCAGTCATGTTTATTATCTGTAAATCAAAACAATCTTTCCAAAAGAGAATGGTCTTAACCAAACTCCTAAAACTAGGAAGTCATCAGGTTTACTCCAGCGACAGGGGAATGAGTACATGCAGCACCAAAAGCTCAGATCTAACTGTAATTCCTAGGGACTATTTGCTCCAGTCCAGCAGACGGGCAGTCCTCAGAAAGGGGCTCTGAGTGTGAATATTAATTTAGAAACAGAGAGGTGAAAGGGGAACTTTGATTTTCCTGGAGCAGAAATCAAGTCCTTTCCTCCCAAACCTAGGCAACAGGATTTCAGTATAGAGTATATATGCAAGAGAGGCAATGGAATGATACATTATGGAATTATATTCTCTACCTGTACCCATTGTTTCATTTTATTTTCAGGGCCTTAAACTATTTTACTTTGAGTTTGCTTTTTTCAGGCTTTGGACCTTTATACAAAAGAAGGTAGTAGGAGATACTGATCCCCTAAGATTTAATTCTTAAGATTTGGTTCCTCATTTTGCATTAAAAAGACTTTGTAAGACATCATCAACCACAGTGATTTTTTGGAAATTAAAAAAAAATCTATTTCCCCTGTCTGTCAAAGATCCCAAGGCTTCCAAGGGATTCCTTCCATCATAGGAAAGCTGCCGGAGCTGTGGAAATGTCTTCAGTTTCCAAAAACTGCCACCAGTGAGATTATTTTAGTACTGTGCAGACTTTTTTAAGACTTTTCAATTACTTGGGACTGCAGTTCCCAGAATTAGCCATTACAGTAGTTTTTCCCAGCCAGAATTCCGGGAACGGTGGCCTAAAAATCGAAGTCCACAGAGTGGTTTTCTTTACTCACACATGGGCTCCTGTGGGCCTCCACAGCCGTCACTGCCTTTGGAGAAATGGTTCAGTGTGGCAAAGCTCCATGGAAGTTGCAAGGGATTATGGGACAGGTGGTCCTTTTGCCTCTTAGGATCTATAGAGGATGCATCTAAAAACTATCTTAAAATTTTTTTAATGAATTGAAAGCTTCCCACTCCCCCTTTTCAACTTTCAACGCTTCCAAAGGATTCCTTTTCACCGCCTAAGGATGTTGGGGGGAGGGCAGCCACTTAATAGTCCAAAAATTGCCACCAGATTGCTACCAATAGGCTTGATCATGGCAGCAATCCAACAACAATTTTTTTACTTTAACAGCAACATACTACTTGCCCAGTTGCTTGGCCCAAAACAGAGTTACATACGTCAAGTTTGTTCGCTATCACTCTTCTGCTTTGCTTTCCAATTACACTGCAGCCTCTGCTTACCTTTGTGGCCATTATGAATGCATCAGAGGTTTAAGCAAGTGAAGGGGCTATCTCAGTATCAGCAATTACACAAACAAACCCCAAGACAATTTTAATAAGTTAGATATGTTTAAAATGCTTTGGAAATGCAGGATCTATGATGATGCAGAGCACTAATAATCAAGGAAAGATGTTTGTGTCATACCACCCCATTAATCTGCTTCAGCTCTGTTTCAAACACTAACATCAAAGGTCATACCATAAAACATCTCTAATTTAAACCACAGATTTCCCCCCCCCAGCCTAACCTCTCCTTCACCATATCACAGAAATATTAAGGCCAATAAAAAAAAATCAACCAAATGTAATCCATGGTTTAGGCTTACTACTGGACGCTGATTCAGAATATGATAAGTTTAAATAAATTATATGCATTTGATGAAAGCTGAAAGATGTTTTTAAAGTTTATATTACAGCTTCCTTCTTAGAAAGAAGCTGTAATGGAATGCACAAAATCTGGTATGCATTCAAACAATTATGAAAAACTAAGTAGGAAGCAGGAGAATGCAAGATAAAAAGTCAAGGCTGGAATCCTACACCCACTTACTTGGGAGTAAATTCCACTGAACTCAATTAGCTTTATTTGTGAGTTGATATAAACTAGACAACGTGCAATCCCAAGCCAATGGGCTCTAATGGTTTCCCCCTTTCCTACACTGATCTGGGAAAGATCTCTGGAGGGAGAAGAGGAGTACAGATTTGTGTTTTTAGAGCCTGACATGGTGCTTAGGGAATTTTGCGAAATGTCATCAAAAAACACAAATTCACATACCTCTAGTAAGGTAATGAGTTTCCCAGTCATGGGGCCGCAACAGAGAAAGACCTGCTATGCTGTCAACAAACCTCTGATGGCACATGGAACAAGGCTTTCTCATGATCCAAGTAGACAGAAGTAATCCAAAAGGAAATAACTCTTCAAATGTCAACATATATCTCAATATTATTTTTGACAATGATGCCAATTACAAGAATAATGATGATACTGATATGTTCTTATTCACTTTTCTGGTTATTGTTATGCACCATCATGCTGCTTCCAACTTATGGCAACCCAAATGGGATTTCTGAAGTATGTGAGATATTTCTTTCTTTATTATTTATTTATTTAGAATATTTCTAGGCCACCTTTCTCCCTGAAAGGGCCCAAGGCAGAGTGGTTTACCACTGTGGTGATTTGAACCCAAGTCCTAGTCCAATATTCCATTTTCTTCACCACAATGGTTCTCATTCACTTTACTTACTAGATCAAAAACAAAGCTGGCAAGTTAGAAACTTATAAAAAGGGCAAGACTGCTAAAATAGCAAGTTGCAGTGATCAGTTGTCCATTTCTCACACCCAAGAGCTTAGGATTCGATGATTATCCCCCCACCCGTTTTATCTTTATTACCACACTGTGGGGTTAGTTGGGCTGTAATTGGGCAGGGACTGAACCCAGCTAAGCATGGCTCAAAGCCAAGAATTCATCCTTGACACCACTTATGTATGAGAGAACACTGTGACACACCAGAGGAGCAAAGGTCAGTGGGTGGCTGTATTCCAAACTACAGGGTTCGGGGATTTGCCTATACTCCAGAGAGCAGCACTGCTGAGAGAGTCCGTTTCAACTTTTCTGTGAAAAAGAACACCTAAAAGAACTTTGTAACTTTTGCCATTTGCAACTTTTACCCAATCTCATTTTCTTTTGTGTTGTCTTTGTGAGTGTGTTGCTGTTGTTGTTGTTGTTTTTACTTCAGGCGAAACTTACAATTCATGCTACTCTGGGAGCCATTTTCAGATGGGGGGATTCGAACTGAGTAATTCATTCATTCATTCCAGTCCCTGGAAATAAATGCTTGCTGGTTAATCTTTGCCCAGATAGGTAAAGAGGTTAAGGTGATGGATTAGGATCCAGGAGACCTGGGTTTGAATCCTCACTCGGCCATGGTACTGGCAGTGGTAAAACTATCCTCAAATATCTCACTTACTGTGAAAACCCTATTAGTGTTGCTATAAGTTGATTTCGACTTGACAGGGCACAACACAGATGCTAGATCTCCAGAATAGGAACAGCTCGTCCTCTCCATAAATATGTTGTAATAAATATGAAAATATAAATAAATAGATTCCAAACCTCCACATGGTACTGCGATGTCTCTGATATGCTGCTGACGCTGTCCCGAGCGTAATTTTTCCTTTGCTCTGATAAAAAAAAAAGAAAAAAGAAAAATGAAGCATAAAGATGTTTTCTTTTGACATTTGAGATGACCATTTGTGGAGCGCTTGCTGCCGCTGGACTTTCTTCCAAACTTTCTACCCCATAACTATTTCTCCATCTGCTTTGTGTACCCATCGTGTACGAATTGAAGGCTGAATGAAGAGGGAACAAACAGAAAGAATGGGACAGAGAAATGTTGAAACAGGCACAGGCTTCACTCCAATGCAACATTTAGCTACCAAACAGTATTTTAATTCCTTTTAGTATGAAGAATGAAAAGAAAGTTAGAAGTCACGGCAAACCCACTATGACCCTTAAGGTGAATGAAAAACAGAGGTAACTGGTCATATATTTTTGAAAATGAATAAAATAGAGAAACATAATCTCTTGAACTCAGATCAGGTCATCACCCAGAGATTGAAAATTTTACTTTTCAGACTACAGTGTGAGCTCTAAGACGCCACATATACCCAGCAAGAACCTTTCCTGTACAGTTTTCTTGTTTTAAGAGATATCATCTTTTGTTTTGACATTAAAGAGATCAGAGAATGCAACCCACTTGTTTTACCATCTGTTTTTCACAGGCTGTGTCCTACCTGGTGTTTTAATGTTACCTTTGTTTGGATCCCACTGTTTTCCTTCCCTGACCTCTGGAGGGCTGCTCAAAGAGCATTTAAGAATCTAATATGGATGTTATAAAGAAACAGGCCAGAGAAAGTCCTGCGGATTCGTACCCTGCAGCTCAATATTTTTTGGATTCACCTTGTGGGCACGGCCATGGGAAATGCCATAGTGAGCGCTTGTTCATCAAAATTGACCACTACATTATTGCACACAAAGCATGGCTGGTTACTCCCTGGGGAGAGTAATGATGTGCTAAACCAATTTATTACGCTTCTACGCTTGCTTTTCCTCCAGATTGCTCAGAGCAGCTCACATATGGTCCCCAGGTGTCTGCCCATCAAGGCAGATTACAATGTTAGACCTGCTTAGTTTCAGCAAGACGGATGTACTGTATCTCGTTCCTCCACACTTTTCTCTGGCTGGTTCGGAACACAGCAGTCCAAAATGGACTGAACGGAAGAACAAAAAGGATCTGATGCCTCCCTAGCCCTTTGATCAAAAGCCAACCAATCCTCCCCAATTAGAAACCTTCCAGACATCTGTCCCAGGCTGCCGGGTTCGGAAACATGGAACTAAATTCACAATTTTTTCAGATGCAATTAAAATATAGAGTGGCTTACGAGGAGAAAGACTTACTGAGAAAGGAAACGGAACCGAAGAGCAGAGAAATAAGCTACACTCTTTAACACACATTCTCTCTCTCTCTCTCTCTCTCTCTCTCTCTCTCTCACACACACACACACACACACACACACACAAAATCAACTACTCCTACAGATGCCTTGAGTATTCTTTTGAGGAATGGATAATGCTGCAGATGAAAATAAATAAATAAATAAATCACACTGAGGCATTTATTTTAGGTTTGAGGCAAGAGGAAAAACTATATTTTGTGTGACTAATTGGGATAATGCAAATCAATTCAGAAACGGACCAGTTGTAAATGTATTTTTTTCCACTTCCAAGAATTAATCAATTCTGTTACTCATTAACAGAGGGGAGGAAAGTGACCGCCACTACCCTGCTTCTTACATCTGCTACGTGAATTATTTGAGATTTCTAAGAAGTGACCAGGTGGGGAGTGTTAAACCTACTTTTTTACTTTACACCAGGGTGCTGCATCATTCAGATTAGGACACTGCTGCTCCACATTTCCAGAAATAATTTCTCATCAGTCCAAAATGATGCTGAATGGTGATGGAATGAATGACATGTGAGCTGCTAGAGGGAACAGACGCAGGAAAGGGGAGGGTGCTATGCTGATCTGAATGATGGCCATTGCTTGCCACAAGTAAAGAACAGATTAATCAGAGTAGACCTTTGGTCTAGATGGGCTGGGTAGAAATCTAATAAAATAAATATATAAAATAAATTAATTAATCCCTGTCCAACCCACCTTGTACATCAAAGAAGACATATGGGTCTCTTCTAAGCCCTCTTCAATCATTCTTAAAGTGAATGTTCTCCACATGTATTCAGAGAAACATATTGCCCCCCCAACCCCCGTTCTTGCTTTCCACGTGCACAAGCAACAGTCTAATGAAGGGGAGATTATTCTTATCCACGCGTAGACTCTCCATGTGAACCAAAGTGCCACATGAGAACCAGAGGAAATGAGCCAGTACTTCTGTAAACTCTTCTGGGTTCCTGATAGGGACACGTGAATCACACATGGGAACGGTGACCTAGTTGCCAAGGTCAAACAGGTAAAATGACAAGTTCCTTCTAAAACCTACCAAACTCTGAGTTTGTCAACATCCTTCTTAAATGGTTTTGCCCCAAACTGGAGGCAGTGATGCCATGTTGTGCTGCTGTCTCCATGTCTAACCTGCCATTTATTAGGACCCAACATTCCCTCACAGTGCCAAGTAATCATCACAAGGGAAATGCTGTGGTCTTACTCCAAAGTACCAGCTCCTGTCAACCTAGCCTCCCTCACAGTGCCAAGTAATCATCACAAAGGAAATGCTGTGGTCTCCAAAGTACCAGCTCCTGTCAACCTAGCAGTTCGAAAGCATGCAAAAATGTGTGTAGATAAATAGGTACCACCTCAGTGGGAAGGTCACGGCATTCTGTGTCTAGTCGCGCTGGCCACGTGACCACGGAAACTGTCTACGGACAAAACGCTGGCTCTACAGTTTGGAGATGAGCACCGCGCCCTAGAGTCGGACACGACTGGGCTAAATGTCAAAGGGGAACCTTTACCTTTACCTATGCTAACTTATGAAAAATCCACTTTATTGAGAAAAGCACATTGTCCCAGGAAATGTCCTGAGTATCAGGCTTCAATCCCTCCCTGAGTGCGGGAACAGTTAGTTGGTGGTCATATTAGACAGGGTTCTCTTGGTGCCGTTGGAATCAATAGGCACCAAAAGTGATCCTGCTGATAACGAGACTCATTTACGTAACTCACGTTAACAGGTCTTTCTCCCCAATACAGAGAACCAAGGCAGTTTATACAGGAGTTCAGGTTGACTTGAAACATGCCAATTACTTCTCTGGAAAACTGTTAAGCTGTTGAAGGAAATGAGTGGATAACAGAGTGGCCAGGCATTTTGTTTGACAGAGAAGACCACTGTTTAAAGGGTTCTTAGAGAAGGTATCATTTGAAAGTGTCTTCTGTTTGCTCAGTTCAGTTTAAAATTATTAAAAAGGGAGAGGAGCAGGTTGCTAGAGCAAGGAGTTGCTCCTTCCACCTAACAGGAGATGGAAAAGGCAAATAAGTTGCAGTCTTCTCTACTAGTAATAAAGTTACTATAATTATGTGCCAACAAGTCACCTCTGACTTATGGAGACCCCATTAATGATTGTTCTTCAAAATGTCCTCTCCTCAGCTGCTTTGCTGACTCAAGCCCATGGTCTCTTTTAGGAAGTCATTCCATCTCGTATCTGATCTTCCTCTTTTCCTGCTGCTTTCCACCTTTCCCAGTATCACTGTCTTTTCCAGAGAACTCTGCCTTGATGTGCCCAGACCAGGACAGTTTCAATATTTTTGCTCCAGAGATACTTTGGCCTTCATTTGATCTAGAACCTGCCTGTTCGTCTTTCTGGCTGTTCAGGATATTCGCAGTGCCACATTTTAAACAAATCAATTTTTTCCTGTCAGCTTTTTTTTTACTGTGCAGCTTCCTATTTAATTCATTTAACTGCGTTCCCATGTAATTTACAACAATTCTTTCTAAACTGGCCTCTTATGTTAGCATTTGCAAAAGTTATGTCTATAGTCTTTCTTGTCCTCAGTTCTGGGGAAGCATTTTCTCTCCTTTTTTGTCCAACCACAGAATATCATGGGTGTGTTAAATCTAGTGTCTGAATAAGGGAAGCACATGATATAATCTTTTTTTTACAAGCATTCCAATAAACAAATTTCCAAACAAATTCTGAAATTTGTCTGAATATAATATTTAAAACACATGAATCATGATTAACTTATTTTACACCATCAAATATTGTAGTTCAGATACTTACAGCTACGAGGAAAATTAATTAAAATTAGCTTTTCGGTTTGAATCCCCTATTCCTGGAGGAAAGGCAGGCCATTAAATAATACTTATGCTGGTTAATACTTCTGCTGGCTAAATATAAGTTAAATAATTTCAGACTATCCAGGAGGCCTGCTTCCCATTCCCCAGACCATCACTGTTACCGATATTCAGTGGCAAACTGTACCGCTGAATTTTGAACACAAACTGCAAAAAGCTCCCCAAATAATTGGAATATATTTTGGAGGTATATTTGCATGTGCACATGAGTTCACACATGCATGCATAATTTTCTGTCAAAAGCCAAGGCTGCAATTTCCCACTGATTTTTGGTGGAATGGTTCCAAGGAAGGGCCAGGAGATCAAATACTGTACAGACCATAGACTATATGCCTATCGACCAGCGTGGTACAGAGTGGTACTATCACTTCCCGTGATCTTGATGCAGCCTAGAACTGTATTGGCTTTCTTGGCAGCTGCAGCACACTGTTGGCTCATCCTTAGGCAGTGGTCCACCAAGACACCTAAATCCCTCTCACAGGTACTATTGTCAAGCCAGGTATCACCTTCCAGTACATGTGCACCTGCTTTCTCTTGCCTAAGTGCAGGACCTTACATTTCCTGCCACTGAATTGCATCTTATTAGACAGGGACCAATGTTCAAGTCTATCTAGATCCTTCTGTAGGGACCAATGTTCAAGTCTATCTAGACCCTTCTGAATGTTGAATCTATCTTCCAAAGTATTAGCAATTCTCCCCAGCTTTGTGTCATCAGCAAATCTGATGAGTGCTCCTTCAATCCCCTCATCCATGTCATTTATAAAGATGTTGAAGAGCACTGGGCCCAAGACAGAACTTGAGGGACCTCACTGCACTCC